AAAAAAAAAAAAAAAAAGAACCCAATATAAGCTCCCCTAGGTGGTGCTAAAGAAAATGTCCTAAAAGCGGGGCCATTCAAGATGGGTTCTGATGGATGAGTAGGAGTTTGACAGATAGGAACCCGCCTCCTGTGGCATTGAAGAGAGCTGACTCGAGTGCAAGGACCTCTTGGAGCCTCCAACATTCCCAGAACACTTGGCCTCCGTGCATTTTACCTGAGTCGATGACAAGGGTCACCAGGACAAAGTCCCTGGGGAACTCCGAGATGAGCAAGACACAGGTTCCCTCAGTAAGAGAGAAGGGACCCTGGACGGATGCAGAGGCTCTCCTCTTCCAGGCCGGCTGCTGCTCAGAGGCTCCTCCATGTATCCAGAGTCTCTAGGCAAAGCTGCTAGAATTCCCGGAGCTCTTTCCCCCCTTACCTTCTCCACAGTCGGGTTGAAGTGTGAGGTAGCCTCCCCTTTCTGCTCACATCGGGGTCAGGCTCTCCTCACCTCAGGCCTCTGGGCTGGCCTGTGCCCACTGCCCCTCCCGGGCCAGCCCCACCTCCCGCCAAGCCGCCCGAGGGCCAAGACTCCGGCTCCAGACCGCCAGACCCTTCCTCCTTCCTCATCCTGTCCAAGCCCCTTTCCTCTCCCTCCTGGCCTGAGTTCCTGCTCCATTAGGCCATTTCGCTGGCATTTCCTCATCTGCTCAATTATTTATTCACTTAACAAATAATTATCGAGTGCCTACGGCGTGCCAAAAATGGGGTTAAGGCCGGGCGCGGTGGCTCACGCCTGTAACCCCAGCACTTTGGGAGGCCAAGGCAGGAGGTTACTTGAACCCAGGAGTTCGAGACCAGCCTGGGCAACATGCCGTGAGCTGTGATTGTGCCACTGCACTCCAGCCTGGGAGACAGAGTGAGACTCAGCTCAAAAGAAGAAACAGGGTTAGATGCTGGGATCCAGTGGCTGATAACAGAGATGCCTTCCTGGAAACTCCAGCCTACTGGGAGAGTCAGACAATCATGGAGAAAAGAGATGGAGACATCTCTATTACAGCTGCTGAGACGTGCTGTGAAAGAAAAGTGCTAGAGCGTGTAACAGGGCATCCGATGCCGCCTGGGATGTTGGAGCAGAGAGCCGAGACCTGAACCATGAGAGCAGCCGCGGGGGTCGTGATGGGGCGGGGCAGGGCCCCCGGGTGGGAGGACCAGAGTGTCAGATGGCCAGGACAGAGGCCGATGTGGTCACTGAGTGCAGCGCAGTCACGAGATGAGCAGGGTGAGGACAGCCAGGCCAGGTTGTGGAAGGACTCGAAGCCGAGGCAGGGTGCCCAGTTTTGTCCTAAGTGTACCGGGAGCCACTGAGAGCTCGGAGCAGGAGAGAGGACCGAGATTTCTATTTTTACAAGATCACTCTGGCCTTTGAGAAGGGACTGGGAGGGCGAGGAAGTGGGAGGGTGGCTCGAGGCACTTGTGGCTGTCTAGGCAGGAAGTGCCTGCACTCGGAAGAGGGTGGTGGCAGCAAAGGGGATGGCCATGGGAGGGGGGCAGAAGGACAGGCTGGCGCGTCGGGAGGAGGATATGGGGAGAGGTGGGGTCACAGGACGCCAGGCCCCTCCTGTGTCTGGGCCGCTTCCCTCCCAAGGCTCCCGAGCGCTCCTCTGCCCCGAGTGCCCCTGGGGCCACCTCAGGCAGAGCCACTTGTCCAGAACTGCCTCGGGCCGATGGGCAGCGGCTGCCCAGAGAGAGAGAGGGGGCGGCTGCCTGGCCACCGAGATGGACACGGAGGGATGGGTGGCTGGTGGTCTCGGCTCTGCTCTTTATTGGCTGTGGGACTTCGGGAAAATCATGTAAGCCACCCGCGCCTCGGTTTCCTCATCTGTAAAATGGACAAGAGGCCATCTGCCTTGGCGAGTTGGGATTCTCATGAGATGATGACCTTCTTGCGAGCACCTCCGTGGATCTAACGCAGTCAGGTGTTGCCGCCAGCCTTGGCGGGCGGCGGCGGGGGGG